GGGACACCACCTTGCACCCAACAGGAACCTATGCAATACACTTTTTCTGGAGAAGGTCTTGGCGGAAACTCAGACAGTAACTGAGCCGTGTAGCTTTGGAACTGGGGCCATTCTTCCCAACCTTGCATGACAGCCTGTCCTTCCCACCACCGGTGGCCCCAACCTGCTAGGCTCAGCCCCACAAGGAGATAGGACTGCTGCACAGAACTGGGACCTTTGGAGTGCATTTCCCTGGGAGGCTCTTGTCCTGGACTCAGATGGGCACTGGGCTGTGCAGTTACAGCTGCATGGGGGGCATTCTGACCTGCCCTGCAAGCTCAGCCCATTCCACTCCCTATAACTGGAGAGTAATCTGACTGGTCCTTCTGACAACTGGTGGTCCCACCCTGCTGAGCTTGTCCTGCAGGGGGACCAGGGTGTTGTGCAGAGCTCATCTCGCTGGGAGGCTCACGTGTGGGACGGAGACACGTGCTGGGTTGTGGGGTCGAGGCGCATGGGAAAGGCTATATATTGCCCACCTGTAGGCTCGGCTGATTCCACCCCCAATAGGAGACAGTTGTGATCTATCCTCCTGAGTCCAGGTGGCCCTGCCCTACCGAGCTTGCAGAGGTTGGTTTCACTCAACCTGAACCTGCAGCATGCTCCTTCCAGGGGAGCTAGGGTCAGAGACTCTGGCATAGACTGAGTGGTATGGCTCTGGAATAGGGGCCACTTTCACCCCATTGAGTGCCAGACCATGCTGTCCCCCAAGTAGAAGACCCATGACCCCCAACCCCCTGATCCCAGTCACCTGCCCTATTGAGCTCATGCCTTGTGGAAGGGTCTGAAGGATGTGACCAGCTGGAGCCCATTCTACAGTCTCTCCACAGGAGGCTCACAAGGAAGACCAGGTGACCACAGGGAGTAGCAGTGTGGCCAACAGGAGGAGGCAGACCTCAGGGTGCCTTGGACCTTTTACGGATCTGCCCTGGTTCAGAACTGGAGGAAGCTGACCATTGCACACAGCTTGGCACCTCCCATGCACACCCAGACCCAGTAGAAGCAGCCACAAACAGCAAAATGTGTGGTAGCTCTAGACAGGTAGCCCAAGGTCGGTTACAGGGAGTGTCTGAAATCAATCTGCACTGGAACCCCACCCAAATGGACCCAGAACCAACACAACCAGCGGTGGGCCTCAGACCACCAGAGCACGATCCAACTAACACAAGTGGCACACCCAAAGGGAGATCCCAGCAGGCACCAGACCCTGCTGGAAACAACCCCACCTCAGGGGAGAGCTGCCGCAAAGTGGCTCATACACTGTCATCAAGGTCTATCCTTATAGCCAGCCAGCCTGAGGGTTAACCCCATCTGCAAACAGGCCAACAGCACTCAAGACTCAACTACAACAGGAGGGAACACACAACCTGCACAGGAGACATTCTGGGAGCCCCTAGCTCAGGTGATCAGGAAGATTGAACTACTGAGCCCCAGAAGAAAACTCCAACATAAAACCACCATAACAAGTTTGGGAATCATAGCAAATCTAGATAATACACAGTGACAAACACAAGAAGGCAGACAAAATGGGGAGACAAAGAAATATGCCTCAAATAAAAAAGTAATCCCCAGGAAAAGAAATAAATGAAATGGAAGCAACCAAGATACCAGATGCAGATTTCAAAACACTTATTATCTGGATGTGCAAGCAATACTATCTATAATTTATAGTAGGAGTATGAAACCACCTTGGGAAGGATGCAAACCAACATCAGAGTAATAGCTTTGGTGGGTGGAGGAGGGGAGGATTGCAGTGGGGGTGGGGAAGTGGGAAGGGTTCTCACCAGGTTTTATTTCCTCAGGATGGACAGAAGGGCATCTGCAGCACAGATGTCAATACATCAACACGTGTTGTACTCTGGACTGTGATAGACTATTGTTTTCACCTTTTGTGGATGTTTGAATCACTTCATATACACCCTTATACATGCGTACATCTATACATACACATTTAATTTTTTTAAAGAGCTCGAGAGACAACATGGAATAATGTCAATGAACTATAGAATGCCTTCTGGTTTAAAAATAAAAAAAAATTGAATATGTGGTGGGGGAAAGGTCTGTTTAATTTTACTTATTCAGTGTTTCCCATAATTCAATGCTTCTTATCCCTGAGACTTTCCCCTTTTCTATTTTTTTTTTTTATTTCTGATCATCTGGATTATACAAGTTTCATAGACCACACTTTGAAAAATGAAATTTTTTGAGACAAAAAGGCTCAAAAAAATTAAAGAGAACACAACCAGTTCACTGAAGTTAATGTCAAATTGAGTTTGACTTGGACCAACATGAAGAATAAGTTGGAATGTCTGACCTTTCTTAAGTAGCAAAGGTATGCCAATCATTCAAAAGCCAGGGACCACACCCTGCCTCCTTGTAGACATCATTTCAAGAGAAGTTGCTGTGAGAACTACTGTTGTAGATAACGTAAAATTCAGTAGGGATCATACCTACTCCTTAAACCTTATAACTTCATAAGAAAAAAATTCCAGCTATTTCAAAATAAAAAAGTCTATTTTGCAAGTGTTTTACTGCACAACTATTTTGAGTGAAGCGTTTTCTTTTCTAGACCATAAACTGCATTGCTATTCAAATAAATGGAATTATTGGATACCATAGAAGTACTTATTTACTCATAAGGCTATAATGGTTTAAAAATAAACAGTGTAATACATTGGACATTGATCTGAAAAGTACAAAAGTTGCCATCCGAGGACCTGCACACCATAGTACTGTTTTGCTGCAGTGCTCCTAAGTTCTCCTGAGAAGGCAGCATGCACCGAGGGTAATCACTTGTATGACACTTTATAATTTAAAAATAAGTTCATGCATTATGTTACCAGGTAAGAAATGGGTATTTCATACATTCATGCAACTCACAGCCCACAGGGTGACAATTTTTCTACTCATTTTACAAAGGCCCCAAGAAGTTCAGTGTCAATGAACTGGTCTAGGTCCCACCTCAGGTAACTGACAGAGCTGAATCAGAACCTGGGTCTGTGAAGCCAGACCCTTCCCTTGTAAATTGGGGATTATAAGCAGCACTCACCTCGAGGCTCCTGGAGAACACACGATGACCCATGCCAGGCATTGATGAATTTCCTTTATCATTATCATTTCTAACTTTTTAAAATGTAACTTCACCTTGATTATAGTTTAGTACAAACCAGTGCTCAGCTTAACAATGCAAGGGCAATATTTTCTCACTAACTTTGTTGTCAAATACTCCTCCTGGGTGTTTTAAAGTCACCTGTCTAGGGATTTCAGATGTTTGGCTTTTTTTGCTATACAGTTATGCTCATATAGAAAACAATCTTGATTAGTCTCAGAGAGATGGTCTGACGTTTAGGTCAGTATAAGCTTCTGGGTTGGTTTGTCCCCCCCCTACCTTTGTCCTGAGGACAACTAACACCTTGGCATTTGACAAGGCATCCAGCGACTATTTGTTGCCTCTTTGCATTGGGGTTTTCTAGCTATGACACTACAAACAGGCTTCAGAGTAAAAGAAAAACTACAACATCTTTAGAAAGTTTTTTCTCCTTATACTCAAACCACGCATTTTGTTGAAGACAATGAAGGCTGCGATAACACAGGGAACCTTTTGAGAAGACTCAGCAGGATCACTGAAGTCATGTGTTTAATGAGTGAGGATGCATCATCACCAGTCTCATGATCAGATTTCCCATGCAACCCTGAATTTCACGTAATTCTATTTTTCCTTTAGTTTTAGCTAATTAATACAACACGATTTATTAGAGAAATGAGTCTTCAAAAGCCAGCATTTCTCAGGAGTGTCCAAATTTTGAATCCAGAAAATCAGAGCCGTCTTTTTGTAGAGTGTAGATGTGCTATATTACATCTGTAACATACTGGCTGCATCACTCAAAGTTTAGATACAAACCCTCTCTTAGGGTGTTCTTGTGCCTTCTCTGTTCCTCTAAATTTACAGATAGATCCCTACTTAGGAGTTCTGGAAGAATTCTTGCTACTTGTGTGTGTGTTAAATGAACAGTACTATTTAGAATCTAGGAACAGGAAGTAAAATAAATCATCCGTAAATGGTACATGAACTTACCTTGTGTCCAACAGCGGTGGGTGCAAAACTGCTAAGATTTCATGAATACGGAGCATACCACCTCACAGCTACCGTTTCACTTGGTACTGAGAAGCAGGACATAAAGCAGAGTCATACCTGGGGCCTTGGGGTCTGTTTCCAGCATAAGGACAGGAACGCGTCTGATTTTCTCACCAGGTGCTCGTCAGTGCCCAGCCTCCTGGCTGGCAGGTGGCAGGCAATCGGCACGTCTCTATGGAATAAATGATTGAATGAGTGAGTGAGTGAAGGCGAAATCACTGTACCCAACAGAAAAATTATTTATTCTACATTTAAGGGAGGGGGGGAATGTAGGCTGTGTTGAGGCACGTGCCAAGATTGAAGTAGCTTCAAACCTTGATGAAAATAGGTCTGCAAATTACCACTTACAACTTATTATGATAACACTATAAAAGTCAATCTATAGTCGTTTGACTCTGCATCAGAGCTGGAGAAGGCACTTTGATTGACCAAATCTTTGGTCAACCCAAGTCAATTCCAGAGATGCGGGACAGATCTTTCCCAGGCAAAGGCCTTTTATTATGAGAAGGTCTGGGAGCAGAAGACACAACAAAACCCAGTGCCACATGGGTGGGCCTTTTACTGGTAAGCTCGGGCTGGCTAATTAGAAAGCATGATATCCACTGATAATCTTGCTAACGTTACAAAGCATCAAGCGGAAGGCTGGAGCCATCTCAGAACAGAGAAGAAATAGTCGCAGGCATCCAAAGTGATCGGTGTGTTCCTCAATGGTGCATCGTTTCCATTTTTACTGTGCACCCAACTCATCACAGATATTATAATTCTGCTTCTGCCTTTGCAAATATAGGGTCATGGCACCACTGACTTTTTCACATTTTTCTTTCAGGCCCTGCTGCAAAAAAGAAGTATGTCAGTTATAATAACCTGGTTATCTAAGCTGTTCCATGCCTTGGGACCACGGAGGAGGCAGATCCTCAGTTATTTTGTCATCCAACCTGGCATAGGACTCTTTTGGTCCTGCCTGCTGCCCATCACTGGAGGAGCATCCTCCGCCGGAAGACCAACGTTAGAGGATCCAAGTGTCCTAGCAGCTGCTTTATGAAATATTCCTACTTTATCTTGGCTTAATAAGTCACTGGCATCAGCACTGCCAACTTGGCTGCAGTTCTGGACCTTCCCGACGGAAGGGAGTGTTGAGACTCAAGTCCCACCCAGGCTCTCTAGGACGAACCGCTGAGAGCCACAGTGACTGTTTTGGGGGCTGACCCGTCTTTCTACGTATGTACTTCCAGGTTGCAAGGTTTTGAAATTTTCTGTATAGTTTGTGAGGACTTTTGCACTTTGCCATCCGATGTTGTACCTCGGTTCACTGTTTGTTTTCAAATGCCCTGTTTTCATAGAGCCCTATTCTCTCAGACGGCAAAATATTGGGGGAAATTTTAAGACAAAATTTTCAAAAGATCTCGGCGGACTAAAATATATATTTAAACCGCCTACACACATGACTGTACTAGGTATAATTATGATTATAATACCATCGCAAATCATGTTATTTTTTTTAAGACAAAAAGATACTTAAAGACCAATAACTGTGCTGATATAGTAGGTCCCACCTATCTTTCGATAGGTCACACAAAAGGAAGGTAGAGGCTGAACTGAATAGAGGTCTTGTTCGGAATGCATGCCGGTAATGTATTTTACAGTACATGTTAATAATACGTTCAATATTTGTATTTGTGTTCTCTTCTGTTATTTTATTTAGGGTATATGGATATTTTGCAATAATTTTAATAATGATCAAGCTCTTTGAAGAAAAGAATATGGATTTTTCATGTCTTGAGGTTTTGTTCATGCCCCCCTATGACTGACCAGTGTGATAAGGACTTTTAAAAAAAGCATGTATGTTTTTTACTGTTTGTAATAAGTACTTTCGTTAATCTTGCTGCTTATGTGCCAATTTAGTGGAAACACACCCTTGCTGAAAAATTCCTTCTTTCCATTCTCTTTCAATTCTGTGATATTGTCCAAGAATGTATCAATAAAATACTTTGGTTAACTTTTTTATTTTCTGCAGTAACTATTTTTAGTTGTTTTTCCCCTTTCAGTTACAATTTATTTCGTAAAATCTGAAGTTAGGGAACAATGGAACCCAAAGTTGTTAAAGGCACAAGCCGGAGCCCACAGCTGCAGACAGACCTCAAAGAAAGGAGCTCTACAAAGCCCACACATTTTGTTTTTACATAATTGAGGTTGAAGCCTGACAACCCTCCACATTTACTCAGCAAGTTACCTATCAAAAATACAGCAAAAATGCCAGACGGGACGGGAAAGTAAAGAAGAAATACTAGTTTCAATAAACAGCAATCTGGGGACAGTTACGTGAAAAGATAAATCCCTCCGCCAAACTTAAAGGACATAAGTGAGTAAAGATAACTCTAACAAAGCATTTGTCTATATTTGCAAACAGTTTCTGTGGCCATATCGTCGATGGCAAGACTAAGATTTGAGGCTCCCAAATCTCAACACTAGGGAATACCCTCATGAGTTAACTAATAGTAACTTGGGGGACAGAAGCACAAAAGACGATTTGCAGAATGATATTGGTGCTCAGCACTCAGGGATGGACCCCCAAAATCCAAAATGTATTTAAATGACCCCCTGTGCATCTCACTGATGAATTTCCTACTGTAACTAACAAAACCCACATCTGACTCCACCTTTGGCATCCACTGACCCCTCCCGCTGCCTCTCAGCTCCCTGGGCCCAAGTCACGTGTGTGCAAACCTAGGAAACTCGTATCAACAACTTACTGAGAAAAACTGAAATACCTCTCAATTTTCCCTTTCCCTTAATCACACCTCAAATGATAGACCATGGGGGGAAATGCAAAGCAAAACAAAAATGAACTTGGACTAATCACATGTTTAAGTTGGGGAGACAAACAACTTACTATAAAACCTGGCCCCCTCTCCTGCCAGCTGTCCTTGGGAATGTGACATAAACCTACTGAACCCATTTCCTCAGCCGGAAAATGAGTTACTATTACTCCCTATCTCCTAGGTCTAAGAGGATTGCAAGAAAAGCCTTTCACATGGCTAACTACCATGTGTGTTAGCTACGATCACCACCACCACCAATAGCATCAGCACCCATCAAGCTTGTTACCCTTTGTCTTAAAAATAACGTGTGTAGTGTTTCCCCATTGCAGGCTCTAAAGGAGAATCTGTACCATAGAATATGAGCAAGTCAGCCTGTCTTCTGGTCATTTCGTAGAAAAATAATTTTTTCCCCACAAAGAAGCTGCATAAGAGCCTATCCCAGGTATTCAAATGTCTAACCAAGAGTGTGGGGAAGCAGCAAAAGCAATTCCCTTTCGGTTTGGAAAGAGCAGGCTGCCAAAGACCTTTGCCCTGAGGCTGGATCCTCAGGGCAGAACTGAGGTTGAGTGATCATGATCATCACAAGGATAAAAGCTAAAGCTTCTACAGCACCATGTGCAAGACATTGTTGTTTTTTTAAAATATATTTTTATTGATTTCAGAGAGGGAGAGAGATAGAAACATCAATGATGAGAGAGAACCCTGCATGCCCCACACTGTGGATCGATCCTGCAACCTGGGCATGTGCCCTGACCGGGAATCCAACCATCACCTCCTGCTTCATAGGTCGATGCTCAACCATTGAGCATGCTGGCCAGGCAAGACATTATTTATATGCATTGTATATTTTATATATTATAAACTTTATGTATATAAATATCCTATGTATATTTCATAAACATCAATTTAATCTTCAAAATGAAGTTCTGACATTTTCCACAACCCCCATCACCAACACAATAGTTAATGAAAGTGTGCCAATAGTCACAGGACAGATCTAGTAGAAAGTATTGTCCTTAGAAAGCAATGAATGTCTACCCCCTCTAGCCATATAGGTTCCCTTGCTCTTCCTCAAATACACCAAGCCATTAGGTGGATATGGGTGACGTCATTTTTCTAGCTAGAACCCACACCTCTCACCCCCACCAAACAAAACAAAAAAGAACAAAACAAACCTGCAGAAATAACCAGCTTGTGTTATTTCCCTTTGCTCAATAAATAACGTTAAGAAGCTTATTTCTAGTTTCTTCGTAACCATCATCATGATGGAGATCTTTTAGGGGCCTACCAAACAGGGCAGTCAGCCATGCCACATCAGAGTGGATTCATCTTTCTTTATAACACATCATTATTGGACTTGATAGATTTATTTATTTTGTCAGTCTCTTCTGCAGCAACACCTAGAAGATAGGACATTCTCTGTTTTGCTCACTGCAGTTTCCCAGCACTTAAAACAGTGCCCGACAAGGAGTAGTCATTCCATAAATATTTGCAAAAGAATTGGTGAAAGGAAGAATAGATGGATATAAAGTTAAAGAGCTCTAGACTATGAAAGGAGGGCTGGAGGAGCCTGAGTCGGTGGGTGTAGCAGGCTCTAAGTCAAGGGAACTTGGGCTGGGTCTTTACGGACAGACAAGACTCAGGTAATCAAGAGAGGAGATGAGACTGAACACTTTACACTCAGCCAGGGCAGTAAAGGAGAGAGCTACTACTACTATTAGGCGGGGTTTCTTTTCATCAAAAGATGAACCACCTCCTTAGGAAGCAAAGTGGGAGCTTGAAGCAGACAGCTAGATATTCTACATCAGAAACCCTTTCAACTGGAGGAGGACAGGAGACACAGGGAGGGGTCTTAGCAGGAGAGCACAGGTTCAGAACTGGAACCAGAACCCCCA